CTTTTAAAGAATCAATCGGTACTTCAAGTTAAATTTTTTTTAAGGCCAAAAAAAATTTTAAATTGCGAAGAAATCTGAAAATTTCTTTCTTTTACATAAAATTGGGTAACTTTTTAAATTTTTGGCTAAAAATTGTGATTTGTATGTGTGAGCTGATACTCTTTGAGACAAAATAAAGTTCATGAATTGTACTTCAAAAAAAGGTATTTATTTTGAAAAAAACTGGAAAAAATGGTCTAATATTATCAAATTTTCATAATATGACTGTTTTATTAAGTGTAAAAAATTTAGAAAAATAATAGTTGTTACACATTTTAAGTTACAAGTAGTCTAGCGATATTCTCGTTTTTTATCCGACGATCGAGAGCAAACCTTACTCGTTTCTAATATACAGTTTGTAATCTCAATTAACGCTAGATAGAGTCACAGGGACCAATTCCACGAGCATCTTGATTAAATATTCCGTTGAAAATGGGCTGGGGTTCACAGGACCCCACGGGTAATATAAGGGTTAATTTAAATTTAAAAGAAAAATTTTTATTCATAAACTATAACGGTCACTAACTTCATATATAAAATAAAATTTTATTGTTTTTCATCTGTCATTAATATATTTTTTTCGCCATTGACATGAAAAAGTGTCTTTTTTGTGCCTGTTTTGGACAGATAAAGTAGCACTTTTTAAGGCAGTTTGGGCCAACTGCCAAAAAAAGACTTTTTTAGGCAGTTGTTAATTTTTGCATAATTTTTGTTTTGCTTTTATTTTATTTATCAATTTTTATTATTTTATTTTATATACTATTTCATACATATTATATATATATATATACTAGGGGGCTACGCCCCCTGCGCGCTTCGCGCGCTAACCCCCACCCCCCTCCTACCTTCCCCTCCCCAAATTTAAAGGTTAAGATCGTTTCAAGACTCTGAATATAGCCGTAAGTCCCCCCTCCCTTCTCTCCTACCCCTCTTCTCTTGACTTGCGGCTATATTCAGAGTCTTGGAACAGCGGCGGCAGCGGCTTCGCGCGCCAACCCCCATCCCCCTCCTCTCTACCCTCCTTTTCCCCTCCCCCACCCTAAATTTAAAGGTTAAGATCGTTTCAAGACTCTGAATATAGCCGCAAGTCCCCCCCTCCCTTCTCTCCTACCCCTCTTCTCTTGACTTACGGCTATATTCAGAGTCTTGGAACAGCGGCGTTGGCGGCGATATCTTTTTGTAATATAGGTAAATATATATATATTTATAATTGGGATCAGAAATCACGCGAAACTGACCCACCCCTGAGCCTTCTTGTGACAACCATCTTGGTTTTTTATCTCTTTCTTTTGTATATGTTAGAGAAACACGGAATGAAAACATGGCCACCACAACGAGGCTCTCACCAGATGGCGTATCGCAGTATTTCAGATCCCAATACATAATACATAATATATAATATAATATATTTCTTTAAAATTGTTTCACTTTTTCATAACAATGGCGAAAAAAATAGCGTATGTGGCTCGCACGTAGTAATTTTTAGGTTCGGATGATTTCAATACTCGCTGTCTGTGCAACTTCAATTCGACTTGGCTCGCTTTCGGCTCGTCTTCGTCTCACCTACGTCGCACTAACGACAACTCGTACTGAAAATTACTACTTTACGTGCTTGACACATAATATACTAGTCTTTTTAATAAATTATATTCTTAGTTAATCCGTTTCTTTTTTTTGTTATTCATTCCATATCAAAGCGTATTTTATTTTATTTTCTTCTCTTAAATGGTTTTAAGGTTAAAACAAAAAGGTTGCTTGGCAGTTACATTTGAAAGAGGAAAACGTCCCCACAAATTAAAACAGGGCTAAACGGCCCTGGCAGCTTAGCCCTCTGGCGAACCACAATCTCAGGCACGCATGACAATTTTCATTTCTATCAAAAATTCTTTGATATTCCTTTTTTTATTATTAAATTTAAAATTGAAATTTATTTAAAGAAAAGTTTAAAATTTTTTGTTTATCGGTTCGTAACACTTGTCCCATTTTTTCAACTATAAATTTTTATAAGAAAAACCTCAGCTTTCGATTTGAAAAAAATACTATCTTTCACCCCGAAAAAGTCATATTTATTTTGAAGTTTCATTTTTTTGGTCAAAATTTTTTTTTCAAAATTACATATCACCAATCGAAAGAGCATTAAAGAAGCTTTCGAATCTATTATTGGTAAAAAAATTTGATTTTGATATTTAAGAAAAAAATATTGTAAAATTCGCGGTGTACCGTAAAACACTAAACCTTTCACCGCCTTCCCATCGGAAAATATTGGACTAAATGAAAAAATATTTTTACCAAAGATTAAATCTATGAGTACTAAAAATGCCCCAAGTTTAAGCGTGATCGGAGAAAAAAACTTTTTGAACCTTGATCACTTCATGTGTGATAGCCCAAAAAATTTAAATATCAGTGGGTATTTTAAGGTTTTCGGGAACGCTGATTTCGAATTTGATGTTAAAATTAAGAAACCTCAAAATGAAGGATCCAAAATGGCGTCCAAAATTTTGGCAGTTTTTGAGGTAGCTGAATTCAAAATTGATGTCAAATTTAAATTTTTCTTTTTAACAACTGTAGACTCATAACGAGCAACCTTAAAAACCTAGAAATTCGTAGCAAAATTTGCATTTAGTAACAAACAAAATCTGCCGATTATTCGACACTTTGGGTCCACAATTTACTAAATTGCCGACATTTTTGAAAGCTTAAATTTGACATCAAGTTTTGATTCAGCTACTTCAAAAACTCCCTAAGTGACAAGTTTTGATCGAAACACATCAAATTAAAAAAGTTTTTTACCATATGGGATCCCTGTATTGAAATTGCCATTTTAAAATCTTTAAATGTGACACAATCTGACAGCAAATTCGGATTCAGCGACCCTAAAAACTCCCGAGTAAAGAATTTCGAGCAAATATTCAATTTAAGAAATTAAACAGGCATTTAAAATGAATAAAATTTGGGCGAGCAGGGGTGTCCGCGTTGACAAAGAATGCCTCAGGTTTAAATTTTTTTTAAAAAAAAATTGATATCTCATCTTTCAGAAAGTACAATTAATATTATTGAAATTATTTAAATGTTGATTAATTATTTTTGTCTAGAGGTCTGCATTTCCGTGGATAAACGTCCTCTTTCGTTTCGTATATGTTACCGGCAAAGTGGGCATTAGGGATTTTATAAAATGCCTATGCATTATATAGATTGCCTGGTCGATGCAAGTAACTAACTGAAGAATTTTTTCCCCTATCTACAAAAGTGGTACTTTTAGTTTTTAAATTACTATTTACAATTTTTAAGCTAGACGCAAAGATTTATAGTATGTATTTTTGAAAATTAAAAAAAGACAAATAAATGGTAATAGAAAAAGGTTATATTTGTAGAATAACTGCTTAAAATTTTGTGATCCGTACTAAGAAAAATAAAAATAGTAATTAAAAAACTAAAAGTACCACACTGAGAGAAATGGATGGTAAGATTTTGATGGTTAAAAGTAGATGTTATCCGGTACTATTATTATGATACTCGGTACCATCAAAGATGTTACAAAAAATATGGTTATGCTACCAACTACAATCAAGATGTTACTCCGTAAAATCTGGATTGTAACTGATAGAATCTAGATATCTGTTCGTATATGTAAGATCAAATATGGTACCTGATACTATCTAAATAGTACCCCGTACCATCTATTTCTCTTCGTGTACTTTTGTAGTCCCTCTCTCCTTAAGGAAACTTAATTTTTAAATTTAATTTCAACTGTTTTGTTGCTTCCGTTATAGGTACGTTATTTTTGAGCACATATTTGAATAATTTGAGAACAAGTGAAAAAATTTGCCTGTAACATATACAAACGCATCGATGTATTAGTTTTGTGGAAGGGAAACTTTTTATAAGTTCCGCCTAATTTCTCGAGTTTTCTACTTCTGCATTCCCTTGAAAAACTTCTCCCGTAAAATTTCCTTTTCTCCTGGAGCGTCACAAATATTTTTCAGTAAAACATACATAGGTAGTTCCCATGAATGATGTCACAGGTTTTTCGCAAAATTTTAATACCTCCTCCACAGCCTCTTTGTCACTCACATTAAAGTTATTCTTTCTTCAGGTTGCAATAAATTTCCCTCTCTTAAAATGTAACATCAATTATAGAGGCCGTCTTAGTAGAAAAAAATTAATTAATTTTTTAAAATACCATAGAATATTAAAGAAAATTTTTTTGCCTTTGGCAAAAGATCAAATTTTAATTAATCCTTCTTATTATTTATTTAATTACTAGAAAAATGACTCCAAATAATATTTGGAAACTAATTACAGTCGAACCTGGTTAAGTTGTACCTGAAGGGACTAAAACTTTTGTTCCACTTATAGAGGTATCTCACTTACCCAGTTTTCCACTTATCCAGGTTGTTTAAGACCCAGTTCCATTTAAAGAGGTTCATTCATTTTATTCTTTTTTTAATTAAATTACATCATATACAAAGATTCCACTTACAGAGGTAAAGATATGAATAGTTCCGCTTATAGAGGAAACGTTCTTCTTATAGAGGTAAAGTTATGAATAGTTCCGCTTATAGAGGGAAAGTTAAGAAACGTTCCACTTATAGAGGGAATTGTTTAAAAAAATTAATTCCACTTATGGAGGTAATATTTTTCCACTTATAGAGGTTTTTTGGATTATTTTGCATTAGTTGTGCAGGGACCACAAAAAGAGTCTCACCAAAAGATGTTTCCCACTTATCCAGGTTTGACTACATAAATAAATGATACCTACATATGAGTAACATGCAGTAGGATTTTACAACTGTTCAAGTCCCTTTAGTGACTTTATAGTTATGATTTTACTAGTGTGTAGAGTATTATATGAATGAGTGAAGAAAACTTGTAAAGGTTTACTTGTCAGTTGTATGTGAGCGATACTTGACTATATCTAGGTATAATACTAAAAAAATTCAATTAAAATTTAAATCTCTTACAGGCCACATCATTTCCCAGTACACGATATCACTGCGACAATTTTCTGTTGATTCCGTAAGCGGATCAGTATCTATTATATCTAATTCTTTAGCAGTTTTATCCCACTTTTTTCTGTACTCAATATCTAATTGTACTTGAAGAAAATCAGCTGCAGTAACATCAGAAAAGGATCCATATACTTTGTAAGCGTATAATCCTGAGTTTGAGTCTAATCTACGCCATATTAACATATCTTCTCGTTCAATAAAAGGTTCCCAAGATTCATCTGTGATTATTTTTATCAGAATTACCTCGTGTTTAAAATTTAAAGTCTGAATAAAATTAGTAAAATTACCTTCTTTATTAATGGCCTTAGCTTGATTAATTCCATAGCAATTACAGTAATCAACACCATTTTGTACAGTATCAATTATTAGACGTTTATGACACTGAGAACATATTACAGTAGAAGTACGTAATTTATAAATTTCGTCTATTTCTTGGGTATAACTGTTAAACAATACTAAATTTAAGTGTATATCATTCAGTAGATGTTCAAAATTATGCATTATCATAAAAAATTATTAAACCACTTACTAGCAATATAAACAAATTTATGTGTTAAAGAAACATTTCGTTTTTAATGCTATTTAAAATAGCGATTTTGTGAACTTAAAGAAACACTGCATTTCAAGCAGCTATTGTATAATGTGGTTTAGTAGTTAAATATGCAGACTGATTTTGCATTAAATTTAGACAGATTAGTCTTGATCAGTCCAAATTTGGTAAGAAAACAGTTTTAAAAAAATTGATTGATTTAAAACATATAGAGTTGAAAACTGTTTTAAATTTCTTAAATTTTTTCAAGTAAGAAAACTTATTAAGAAAATTTTAATTAATTTTGGGTGTAACATATACTCTATATATACGAATCGATTCGTTTCAATGCAAGGAATACAATTATTTTATGTATTAACTTGAATTTAAATAAACACAAAATTTTTTAGCCAAAATATGAATTTTTGATTTTTCAATTTTCATTAATTTTTAAAATTTAAATCAAATCTATACTTTATATATACCAATCGATTTGTCTTGACGTAAGAAAGACGATTTTATTATATGCCACCATAAATTTTTCTATTTAAAAATTTTTTCAATTAAAAAAAAATTTGGAAAAAGACGATAAAATTTTTTTTGGGGTATTTTTAAAAAACCTCTCGTCATTTTTGAGAGATTAATGTGATAAATAACCACACCAAATTTTACCCAAATCCATTAAATCCTGTTAAAGATATCATGTTCACAAAAAAAGATCCACGCACACATACATACATTCGGACAATTGAGCAGGATCTCATATAACATGTTTCTATATAGAGGAAAATTTGTTTTCACCATTTTTAAAAATTTTATAAACGAAAGGATTTTATAGCTTCTTCCACGACGAAGCAAAATGGTCTGCACACTGAGAAAAATATGATATTGAATCAATAGCATTTGTGCCAAAGGTATAAAAATTATTAATTCAAAAGCATATGCTAAAGAATCTATAAAATATTTTACAAATTTAATAGCATATGCTTTTGAATCAATAATTTTTATACCTTTGACAGAAATGCTGTTGATTCAATAGCATATTTTTCTCAGTGCACTAGTAGACAATTTTCAAAATTAGGTGGCTTTGGCTTTTTTTGTTAATAACGGTATGAAAAAAAATGCTGGAATATTTTAATAAAAGGTTTTTAAAAGTGTGACATTTCTAGTATTTGACAGTGTAGTTTATAGGGCAGACAATTTTTTTATAATTGTTATAACAAAATGTTTTTAAAAACGGATTTTTGTGAATTTTTTCAATGCTTGTACTTTCACCTGCTCTCAGAGAGAGAAAATTAACATGAAAAATTCGAAAAAATTCACAAATGTTTGTTGCCATCTCAGGAATTAAATTCAAATTGAAAACTATTAATTAGGTAATTGTTTACAACAATTTATTGTCAACAATGTTATCTCGTAAAATACTGCACATATGGAAATGATTTTTTCATCAAAAAGTGCAGTTTTCCAGTAAGAAAGTAATGCAATTTTTTTTTATTTTTAAACATATATTTAAGGCTTATATCATTTTTAAATTTTAAAAAAATCTGACTTTATTGCCAAAAGAATTTGCTCTCCTGATGGAGTCCGGGTACCTATTTTGACTAGTTACTATAGTTCTCGCTAAATGGCGTGAAGCGCCATCTATGTTTCGATGAATTTCGGAACTTTTTCTTACTATGTGACGCTCCACGAGAAAAGGGACCTAACGCGAAAAAAAATTAATTTCCAGTTTTATATGTGAATCGATAGTATTTAAGTCACGTGGGGTACTTTCTAGAATTTACTCCATAGACGACAGTACGGACGGATACTAGGGTCGTGCACGCTAGGTCGATTATTATTCGTAATCGGGGAGAAGCTAGATATTGGATTCGGTTCCAATATTCATGCCCGACACGAAGCTAGTGCAAAGTAATATTCACTAGGTGTCTCCTCCACCCGAGAAGCGCCTCGAAATGAGGAATCGACCTAGTGTATCGTCTTTGTCAAGAAAGACGCACCTCTACTGAGCACCAGGTAGCCAGGAGTAAGCCGCTTCGAATTGTCAAAGAAGCACCTCTAGACGAGTCGGAAGAAGACTGAGGGAAAAGGTGCGAGACTAAAGGTATATTACTAGCAGCTAGGTGACAGCGAGTGGTGGGGGAAGAGAGTGACACTACTACTTACGCTGTCTACTTTCTCTCTTTTCGCCGGGCGACTATACTACGATATTCTATCGTTACAATACAATAGATGAACTAAATACTTTCCCAGGTTGAAAATTTCCATTTATTGCTTCATAACCCTCACCCGTGGCTTTACTTTTTTACGAAAATTTTGTTTTCACTTTTTGGATTTTTTAATCTTATTTTACCATTATTGGATTTATTCGATTTCACATTAGAAACAGAATCAATTGTACCTATGTATTCTGTAGTATCTAATATTAAGTAACCTCCTTTTAATTATAAAGAAACTGCTATGGAGTATCAATTATGAATTTTCAATTGTTTTTAAATTTTAATTTAATTACAAAATATTTAAAGCAACGAAATCGCCCAGATATTTATTTCTAGTTTCGTCAAAAGGTTTCTATCGAAATGAATTTTTGGTAATATAAACTAAAGGGTATTGTTATCATTCACATTTAATAATATCAAAACGGGCGTTATCCGCCCTTCTTACACACAATGCTTCAATTGTAAAATTTTTTATATGCTCTATAAACTACACTGTTAAACAATAGAAATATCATAGCTTTAAAAACTATTAGTAAAGAATCAGTATTTTGTACGCAACAGTCCGATTTTAGTCTAGTAAACATCTTAGTTCAAAAAAGATTCAGAATAATCTGGAATAATTTTATGTAAAAAATTCCCAATCAGTTAGCAAAAATTTACAGTTAGTCTCATTAAAAATAATATGGTCGCTTCTTGTACATGCGTGGGCATACATATCCTATCTCAGATAGCACGTAAGTTTGTGGCAAAATTGTCATTCAAGTCTTCAAGATTGCGAAAGAAACTTGTCAAAACCCTTACGAAAAATAACACAGGTCAACAAAATAACTTTCTTTTTTTTAGATGTCGGAGTGGTTTCCAATGTATTTTTGTGTGCTGAACACGATCCAGGGTTCCAAAATTGCGTATCATGTCAGGATTTTAAGTAAAGTAAGGGTAAAGACTCCAAAAACCGTGTTTTTGATGGTTTTCATTTTTTTCTACTTAACCCAACGTGCTAGAGACTTCTATTTAGGCCTAAATTAAACCATAAATCGTACACTGTATGACCCGTAAGAGCAAGACAAAAAAAAATTTGAAAAAATTGGAATAAAGACCCCAAAAAATGTGTGTTTGAGGGTTTTCAATATTTTTTTTTATTAATCTGACGTGCTAAAAACTCCTACATACATAGGTGTAACGTAAATTCTTTAAAATTTTTATTTCTTTTCTTTCTTTGTTTTTGAATTTCGAATCGGTTCTCATAGGATAAACATTTGTTTTTGCTAAAACCATTTTTTTTATAAACAATTTTTTCTTCTAGAACCGATAATGAAATCTAAAACTTTAAGTGGTCTACACTTCTTAGATGCACTTTAAGATTTCCAAATTTATATAAAGTAAAACAGTTGTAAGCAATAAAAGTTTAGAAAAAATATATATGGGCAAAACTCACGAGATGGGGACTTTTTGGTAAAAAAAATTTATTTTTAAATTAGCGGCACAATGTTTTCTAATATGAGTTATTTTTTGTCAACATTTAAGAAGTACATTTTAACCAGTGCAACTAATATTTTTGATAGCTATTCGACTAATGTATTTTTGTACGATGATTACGAAAATGATAGTGAAAATTGGCGCAAATTTGATTATCATGGTGAAAACCATTAAAAAACACCATAAAATCATGGTTATTTGTGATTAACTTGTAAAAAACAAAAAAATTTGAAAAATGTTTCAGATAAAAGTTGTAGATCTTAAAAAAACACACATTTTATGTCTTGTACATTTTTTAATAAAAGTGATTATTTTTCGAGAAAAATCCAAAAAACCATAAATAACATAAGAATCAGACGGTTTGTAGTTACACTTGCACTGAACTCGGGGGTTCCGTACACGAAGCGAACTTATTTGTTATAAAAACAAATGTTTAAAAAATATGAGTTTTGTATGTCAAATAATATAAATGATACAAAAAGGAACAATTTTGTGAAAAAATTTAAGAATATTGTTCCTCTTCGTATCACTTACATTATTTGACATACGAAACTTATTTTTTTCGAGGGAAATTTACTAGTTGAAAACGTTTACACTTGATTACTGGAATTGCACCTTATATTACTCTTATTACTAAGTTATTACAAATTATTACATTTTATTACAGAGTTTTTTGCGTTATTACAGCACTTGTACACAAGAGTGTACACTTGACTACCTGAGTAAATTCCCTGTCGTATTTTTTAAACATTTGTTTTTATACCAAATACGTTCGTTTCGTGTACGGAATCCTCGATTTCAGTGCGAGTGTAACTCGCACTTCCGATTTTATACATAGGTATTAACTAGTCCGATTTTATTTTCAATTAAAATAAACATTTTCTTTAAAAAACATGTGAAAAGAATATCGAATTAAAAAAGGAAGAATAGGAGGAAGAGAAAAAAATTAGAAAAAATTAAATAGAACAGAGAAACGAATAAAAAACTTATGGGAAAAATCAACTTTTGTCAAAAAATTTTCTTTTTCGAAAAAAACTTAATTAAAAAAACTTCTTATCATTTTTGTTAAATTATTTCCATAATCTACACATAAAAATACGTGAAAATAAATAAATTTGAATCCCATTAGATAAAATTGTCTTCGTTATTGGGAGAAAATTCATGATTTTTTCTAAAATTATCAGTTTTTTTTACAGCACCAGGACCATTAACTCC